ATTTTGTCTGTCACACATGCTGAAGAAGACCCGAGGACGGGTTGAAATATTCATGTTTTGAATATCGAATGTAAAATGGAACGTATGTGGGTGATCTAATGTCGAATTTATGTGAATCATTATAATTTGAATGGACTGGGATAATAGGATCGTAGTTGTGATGATATGGAATAGGTTATGATTAGATCTCCCTCCAATTATTAGACTTGTACATAAGGCGAAGAAGCAATTTTTCTCTTTTGTTCAAATGGTGGCTCTGAAAAGAGCCGTTTGGTTTGATAGATGAACAGCTTATCCACCGAATCCGTACAGGGTTCGGCCTTGTCTCTTCAATGCGTAGACGACATCCATGGCGGTGACGGTCTTTCTCTTAGCGTGCTCGGTGTATGTGACGGCATCACGGATGACATTTTCAAGGAATACTTTCAATACACCACGGGTCTCTTCGTAGATGAGACCAGAGATACGTTTCACACCACCACGACGAGCAAGGCGACGGATAGCTGGTTTGGTGATACCCTGGATGTTATCACGCAACACCTTACGATGACGCTTAGCGCCTCCTTTTCCTAGTCCTTTTCCTCCTTTACCACGTCCAGACATTCTGATTATTAGTAACTGCTGTGTTCCGATTGTAAATTCGAAATGTGCTTGGAGTTTGCTGGCGTTATATGTCTTATATTGTGTATGCGGACGTAATATGATTACTAGTGTTTACTCACGCATTGACCTTGTTTTAGCGGTAATTTTGAAAGCAGTGTTGTTTGTTGTTTGCCATAATTTCTCAACAAAACATATTTGCGTTTGTTTTTTTTTTTAGATTGAAAGTTCAGTCATATAAGTATTAAATGTAAAATTAAATTGTTCTACAACCTTACCCACATTTTATGCTGTCAACATTCATTTTCTTTATATCAAAATTGCACAATTTTATATAGTAAGCAATATTTCGCATAACATTCTTCTGGTGGAGAAACCAATACAATTATTTACCAAACATTGTGTTTAACACATTATTATATACTTTATTCCGAAATACAAATAAATTTGTTTCTTGATATTATTAGAGCTATGGAGTTTAACTTCAATTTGTTTTCAAAGTTTCAACTTAGAATGTTTTCTGGGATAATATAAATATAAAGTACTTCTTAACTATAAAATTATGCAATAAATAAAACAATATTCTGTAACAGTACTCTTAATCCATTTCGTCATTCCAAATGATTTATCTTTAGCTAGTGATCTTAATCTGTACAAATCATCTAACGTATCTAATTTAAGACCTTTAGATTCAATATTTATTTTACTTGAATTTGAATTTGGAACGGCCTTTGTATCCCTTCAGTTCCTTTATACTTATTACACTATAAATGTTAACATCATTTTTGAATTGGGCCTATAATGATTATCTACAAACTACAATTTGTCAGACAACTAAATATATGCATATCAATTAAATTCTAAAACTCTTTGATATAATTTAACCAAAATGACAACTAATATAAATAATAATAATTATTATTATTATTATTATTATTATTATTATTATTATTATATAGGCTTTATTAATAGCCTGGTTGTAAAACTGCTAAATTGAATGCTTGAAATATCATGCTATCGATGACATACCGGTAAATGCGTGTCTTGAAGCAGAACTGTACATGATTATAAGTATTTTGCCGAAACTCAGTTTGGTCGGAATATATATATAAAAACAGTTTGTCGAAAGCCCTCTGCAGAAGTACAGTGCAAGGAGGTACAGCCTACTGTGTTTTGGTCATTTCCGTATCTAGTATATTTGACATGTGGAAAGGGAAGGCCATGTAAAAATAGGTTAGCA